TGTACTTAAGTACAGCGAGAAAGTACTTGTACTTAGTTACATCCCACCACTGGTTTCTGGTACCAAAAGGTGTTTCTGGTCCCCACCTGTCGTTTTGCTCCTCAGCATGGCTTCATAAAAACACTGCAGGATTTCTCAAACACGATGAATGAGTCAGAGCAAGGCTTTGGACATGTTTTTTATAAGAGTATAACATTATAACATGATATAAAACTCAAAAAAGTTGATTTTACATGATAATGTCCCTTTAAAAGTCAATGCAATTTTCCCAGATCACTTGGTATCAAGGGACCAACACATTTCCTTTTTAAAATTCAACAAGTTACTGACTCAAATTTCTACATCATTCTCTGGATTCCTCAGCCGTTTTTGAAGATAAAATATCAGTAATCATTGTTGTTTGTACTGTGGTGAGGTTTTATTATCAAATGCATCAAATGTTATAAAAAAAACAAGCTGTACACAAAAGGTGGACAAGCGCCTCAGTTTGACAAAAATCGATGAATTTGTTGCAGGTTTGTGGTCCACGGTCTGATCCCAGGAGAGACTTATGTGTTCAGAGTCCAAGCTGTCAGCATGTTTGGCCTCAGTGAGGAGTCTCAGGAGTCTTCTCCCATTGCTGTGGAGCCTGCCCTCGGTAACACCAAACACTGCTTCATTATTACGTAGGAATATTTGAAGAATTTTACAATAAATAACTAATGTTTCAGTAGGAAACACACTCAAGAACTTTTTCAAATAAATTAAATAGAAGATTAAATTAAATTGACATGAAAAGGTGGCTCACAACATGGAGTATTTTTTAATTTTATGCTCAGTGAGTTTACTTTTATTCTGTCCAGGAAAGGAGGAGGAACATGGTATGTAATGAAGACTGTGCTCTTCCTGCCATACTTACCCACTTTTTTTGTTTTGTTCACTTTTGACTTATCACCGAAGCACATATTTTCAAAATCACCCTGGATCATCCTGCTCTGCAAATATATTTCACTTTAACTAAAAACTGTGTGCAGGAAGTGCTAAAAGTAGTCATTTAGTTAAATTGCATAATATGCACGCATGCAGCTATTGATAATGTTTTTTTCTTGGATTATTTTTGAAAAAGTTTTTAAAAAGTCTGGATAAAGATGTGTTATTGTTAAATATGTGTTCGGTATAAATGTGAAACTTTATGAATTACAAATCTTTCAGCAACTCCCAGTGCTCCCTACGGCATCACCATGCTGAGCAGTGATGGTTCATCCATAACTGTGGCATGGAAGAGTCCCAAACACTGTGGTGGCTCCAAGGTCAATGCCTATTACATCGACAAGCGTGACGCTGACACCTTGGTGTGGAAAGAAGTCAACCTGTCTGCGGTCACAGAGAGAATCTGCACTGTGAGTTCAACAATACTTTAATAATAGGAGCATGTAGGGTTTTGAACAGTGAATCATTATATCTGAAAACCAAACTTTATGTTGTAATTTTAGGTGGACAGTTTAAAAGAGGGAACATTTTATGAGTTCAGGATTCAGGCTGGTAATCTGGCTGGTGTTGGTCTACCATCAGCTCCCAGTGCCCCAATGAAATGTGAAGCTTGGACCATGGCAGAGCCAGGTACATAATCATTATTTCTGCTAGTATTTAGCATTTTTTGTTTTTGTCTGCCAAATGTGTACTAGTTCATTATTATTATTATAGTAGAATGTAGCCTTATTAGTATAAATATATAGTATTTACACTGATATAGTAATAAAATTGGTCTGTAAGCCATTCTGAAACTAAGATAATCAAACCTTTGAAAACCAGTGGTGGGCAGCGCTAATCCAAAAATTAGCTCTGCAGTTTCAAAAGAGATTATAAAATATTTAGGTCCGCAACTTCAAAAACCCTTATGCCATAGAAAAATTAGTGGAAGCTAATTCTAAAGCACAAGTTCAATTTGACACTTACTAACTGGCAACAATTCATGCACAATATATGTACAACACTCACGGTAAATAACAAAGTGTAATTTTAACACCTACAGAGTTTAATTTAACTCTGTTTCATATAATATTTGGTCCCACTCAAAATGAGTGTAAAACGTACTCAGTGTAAACTTTTCAGAGTTAATTTTACTCATTTTAGTGTCAAAATCAACAAAGAAGTGAGTAAAATTATTTAACACTATAGCTCATTAACACTCTATAGAGTAATATATAATAAACTTTCTTTAAAAAGTACACTTTATTGTGTATTACTAACCTTATTTTTTGTTTGCTTTTTACACAGTGAGAGTACACAGAGTTCTGTACTCTATCCTATAGTTAAAATCAACACTTGAAGTGTCATATTAACACTGGTCATTGATAAAACAGCACAACAGTGTGACCCTTCACACACCAGGAAGTACCTCTAACTCATGGTGTCGACTTATGGCCAATAACACTAAATTTAAACTTGAAAAACTAACCAAACCGAACAAGAAAACTGACTAGAAAAACACATTTTTACACTCATGAACATTTTTAATAGTCTTAGACATGTAAACACATCATTTCTACAAGATTACCCAGCATTCCTTGCTGAGAAAATTCTGGTCCATGAGGAAGAGGGCGGGGCTTTTCAGAATACTTCTTTCAACACTGCATTGTGTTATATAACGACACTGTTAAGTGTTAATCGAGACTTAACAGTGGGCGGAGCTTATTTAACACTGTCCAGAGTTGAGACAACACTGATGAAATCAACTCTGTGAATTAACAGCAAAACTGGACGTCAGTTCACTCAGAAAGTGTTAAAATAAAACATGGGGAGCTGAAATTAACTCTGAAAAGTTTAACACTGCAAATTTAACACTTCATTTTTTACTGTGTGCCAACTGGCGGTGTATGAGCCCTTGTACAGCTTAATCCTACAAGCGTTGATTGCTAGAGATGTGATTTCCTGAAACAGAACTTTGGCTCCTGGTGTAAAAATTAAAAAGTTGTTGAGGATTGCTAGTTCAGCTGCTTCGTTAAAAAGTTGATGAGGATTGCTAGTTCGGCTGCTTCTTTGTCTTTTTCTTTTGTTTGTTGCAGATTTTTCATTAAAGAAGCATCAATAAAGTAATTTTAAAACTGTTTATTGTAAAACTAAAGCGATGCATTCTGGGTATATGACGGATTTGATTTGTGACGGGAAATGAAAGTTTTCCATGTAGTTGCTCCAGTTGATTATTAGATGTCTGTCTAACCCCGTTGGCGGATTGCTTTGACCAATTACGTCAAGTGTTGAGCTCCAGTGTTTAAACTTTATTTATTTTTTAAAGGAGTTGCAATTTTAAAATAAAATAAAGCAATACATACCAAATTTTAGTATGGATTACAAACGTTTACTGTTTTTACTGGGAAAGGGAGTTCTAAACACTGCCTTCCTGCTACATAAGCAGACACAAAGCATTGTGGGAAATCAGAACCCTGACCGAGAGCAGCTGTCAGCAAGGATGTAAATGTTTCCAATACTTGTGTTTGTCTGGGAGGGGTGCTGTTGGACAGATCACGTGTGTTATGATTCATTGACAGTCATACCTTCTGCTGTTCAACATAATGATGACTGGTAGATGATTAGTTGTTAGCAGTACTGCATTTTAATTTTAGAAAGCGCAAATTTGTTTATGAATTATAAAAAATACTGAGACTGCTGAAACGCAAACAAAATACAGCGGGTAAAATAAGTATTGAACATGTCACCATTTTTCTAGAAATCAAACCATAAATGTCCAGAAATGAAGTTATTTGTAATAATGTGGAATGGCACAGGGAAAAAGTATTCAACACACTTACTGAAATTTATCTAATACTTTGTA